TCCAGCCCAACAGGGACCTCAGCTACTTGGCTGCCATTAGGATTAGAGTCTTGTACGAATGCAGGCCCAGGATTGCCAGAACTTCCAGTATTTTTAGGTGACATTAGAAATTTGAATTTTTATGTAAAATCTAGTTTTCAAATGTTGGCAATTAACTCATATAAAACATGTCCACGGGTCAGCGCTGGCCACAGCCCAGCAGTCTGCGCTCTCTGGCTCAGATGTATCAGGGCCTAAGCCTTCTCAGGCCACTCCCAATGATACTTCCACCGGCCCTGGGGTTGGGAAAATAGGGTGTCTACCTTGGGGCCCACAGGTCATACTGGCTGCTCCAGAGACCAGCCATCAACAGCCAGTTGGGAGGGTCACCTCTAGACCTTTCACTCCTCCATGGCCCTGTGCAGGCCATCAAACATTGCCTTCCCATTAGCACTCTGGTTCTTGATCCAGAGACAGGCTCCAATCAGCTGTGAACTCTCTACAATGTAAGCTCTACACTATTTCAGATCTGCAGCCATGTGGCTAATGGGGAAAAAAATCTCAAACCAGATATAAAACTTTTAAGTCAACAAAGAAGAAGTCCATAATTAAAAAAAAAACTTTAAAAATATTTTAAGAATTTCAGGGGTCTTTTTGGTGTTGGCTGGTTTGGTTTGGTTTTTGGCTTATGGGCCTATTTTAGAATTGAAGCTATTTCCTTGTACAAAATAAAAAAAGAAAACCCAGTGCTCCTGGGCCTAAGGACAGAGAACCCAGTGCTCTTGGCCCTGAGGACAGAGAATCAAGCGCTCCCAGGCCCGAGGAGGGAGAACCCGGTGCTCTTGACCCTGAGGACGGAGAATCCGGTGCTCCCAAGCCTGAGGACGAAAAACCCAGTGTTCTTGACCCTGAGGATGGAGAACCCAGCACTCCCAGGCCAGAGGATGAAACTCTCCCTGGCAAAGCCACTCCTGGAAGGTCATGCTCTCAAAAGCCGAACCTAATTCTGTAATTTAGTTTTAAAAAGCAGTCTTAGACCATGCGAACTTCAGCCCACATGACCATGAGAGCAGAAGAATTAGATGGTGCCTGGCTACCACTGTCAACCACTCGGAAAGGGATCAGCATAGGCGATCCTGGATAGAGTGGAAGAAAAATGTGGAACACAACTCAAAACCATAAAAAAGACCAGGCTTACCAGTGTGACAGAGACTGGTGAAACCCCCAAGACTATGGCCCCTACTCACCCTTTGGGACTAGAATTGAACTCACTCCTGTGCCTTCCAGTCAAACAATAGACAGGCGTTTAGAATGTATATAGGTACACATTTAAAACAATCAACCACGGAAGAACAGCGGGTAGTATTTGCACAGGAAGAGACAGCTCAGTGGGCAGAATGCACGGGAAAGAAGGACACAGGGAAAGGTAACCACAAGGAGGAAGTG